TTTTAGGAAAGGCAAAGACGAATGAACAATCTGGGATTCACATGGAAAATAATATAATATAGTTAACTTTTTCTAGATGTTTGTTAATTTGCATAGTTGCTCATAAATAAACAAATTCTCAGAAAAAATTTATTATATATTAAAAAAGTATAAAGCTGACCAATAGCTTCTCCATTATTGAACTGGTACATTGTACAAGTGTTTTCATAATTTTTGTTGTTGTTGGCATTTATATAAATATGCTGGTGTAAAAACTTAGTATATGCTTGATTAGTTTGATGAAAAAAAATAATCTCAAAACAGATAATAGTTTCACTATCATCACACGACCAAATGCTCCTCTTTATGGATCAGTTTGTCATCAGTTGAGATGTCATGTTGTGTATCGTATCATTACGTCAAACTTTTTCTGTGATTTTACATTTATATCCAACGCCATGTCTACTTTACAAGCAGCTACAAGGGAGATCCAATATGTGAGAGTGACAGCCCCCCATGCAATAGGAAAAATTACAGATCACAGTCTAATAAAATGGCATACAAATGAACAGATAATTTGGTTTCTTTATAGCCCAGGTTTGCACCAACTCCACCATCTTGGTGTTCTGTTCCCCAACACAAGTAAAAGCCATTCTAATAAATACAATAATTCCCACTGGTTGTTTGGTGCTGAAGAATATATAAAAAAAAAAAAAAAGAGTCCTCCTCTGTCAGAGTTAGCGATTGATTCCTTTTTTGATGGAATATGGAGCAATATGAGTAAATTTCTAAAGATCAGATGCTAAGGCTAGGAAATCAGATGCAAAAATGTAAAATGGATCTGGTAGAATTGAAAAATATAGGAGGGGCTGCATTGATGCATGAACAGATCCTTTAAGCACACAGTATGATTGAGAAAACAATATGTGATAACATATATCATGATAGAATAAAAAAGAAATAATACAGCAGTAATATTGACAGCACAAAGTAGTTTGTAACTGTATTTACCACGGGGGTTCTCTGGACTGAGCTCCTTGCAGAAGTCCCAGAAGTGGAACAGATCCTCTGGCATTTGAAAACCATACAGCTGTGTCAACTCATTACGGTGCTCTGGATTCAGGCTTGATGAAGGGAGGGTTTCGAATTCATGAGCTCTGGCTTTTTTCACCTGTCCATTGGCCGAGCATGACTCCTAAATGACGAAGCAGAGGAATGAATCATTACATACAGTTAAGCTGACGAATGATCTGGGTTTGTTCTGTTTCTATGTGATAACTAAGAGTGTAACAATACCTCAGTCCACACTGAAGAAATCCAATTAGACCAATACAAAATAAAACAATGACCCCAAATCATATTTAAGAGATATCTTTATTTTGAAAACCAACCAGGAAACCATTAATATAGGAAACCATTAATATAATTTTTACAATCAGAATAATGCAGTTTTTGATTTGAATATCTGATACCTGAATGACTTAGAAATAAAATGATGAAATCATGTTTGAGTTGTTTTGTGAGTTGACTCATGTGAATGCAATTAACTTTGTTAGATATGCAGATGAGATTGCATGACACTGATCACAAAGAGATGAATGAAAACCATATCATCACAAACTTTGATATTGGCCAACGTTGATTTACATCTAAAATCATAAACAGAGCTTCGTTTTTTTCTCTTTGTGTTACATTTCGACCAAAGACAGCATTTAATGTAGTTTAGATGGCTTTCTTAGACTAAGTTCTACTATGTTTTAAGTGGAAGGAAAGGGTTTAATTATTTTCTCACATAAAAAGTAAAATAATAATCCAGAGCAAACAACTTCCGAAATCACCAAAGTATTAACTAATAGCTTAATAGTAAATTGATGCAAATACGAATACATCTTCTCAGATGATAGTTAGAATAAATCAGGATAAGGAAAGCCAATGAACAGACAATTTTGTCCATGGTAAAGGTAGTGGAAACACCATGCTGGGGGAACTTTTCACCATATATTTATATAAAACAAAATCACACAAAAGGGGACTCTTAGAATAATAGATGGCAGGAAGACAAGTGGAGGCACTTCATTGTAATTGAAAATATCAGTGTGAAAGGATAGAAAAAGGATCCAAATGGATCTACTTTTTAGATTCTTTCGCATAAACACCCATGAAAATACCAGGGAGCGTTATCACAGATCCTTCCTCCCAGCAGCTGTAAGACTCTATAACTATCAATTAGTTGTTACATTCATGCGGATTTTTGCAGTTTCTGTCTTATTCCCTTAAATAACCTGCTGCTGTCATTTTTGCACATCATGTTGCTGCTATTTTTTCCACATGTCCATTTCTGTAAAAAAATAAAATAAAATAATCCACAGCTGTATATTGACTGTAAAAACTGTAAAAACACTGTATAGTATTTTATTTTATTAAATCTGTCACTAACATTTTTATGGTCCACATTTGTTATAATCTTTTACTGCTTTAACACCACAATTTCCCCATTGTGGGACAATAAAAGGATTTTCTATTCTAATATGAATACTTTGAGATGAGATATAGGTTTAGTGGATTAATATCGGTTCCTAGAATAAATGGAGTGAAATATACTTCCACATGTGATGTAATTATATAAAAGTTTGATATATAAAGCGTTAAACAATTGGCAACATTTACCGACTCAACATTAGCAGGCTAACAAGCTATTTTCGCGCGCTTAGGTTAGACAAGATAATGTTATAATTCTGAAGGCGTGGTTAAGGAAAATGAATATGTTGGACGGTTTAAGAATTGTTAAACTGACGCTTTTATCACAGGCCGGGTGTTGGAGAAGCACCGAGCAGCTGCTGCCATGATGGCTCCCACCGCTGCAGCTCACTCAGCGCATCAAACACTTCTGACCGTTGCTTCTAATTCTGTATGAAGTATGCACATCTTTATATTCATAAACCACACGGGTCCAACGCTCATAAGCGCGCTTTTTATATGGACAATCAAAATCAGGGTTAAGATGCGGTAAGAAGAGGTTAAAATTACCTGATTTGATTTGGTTTTTCTTTTTGCGCGCCCTGTCATTTTCCACCTCTTGTCTCGCCGTCGACCTCTTCTTCGGCGGATGTACCAAAGCGGTAGTAACGTTAGGTTAAGTCAATGCAGCGCCCCCACAAGCTCCGGTGGGGGAAGTACTGTTTCTCAAAAATATTGCACTCGGAAATTAGTAGAGGAAAGGAAATACTGTAACAGCACAGTAACCGTGATGGAATTCATGAAAAGAGGCATCTATAAAAAAAAAAAAAAAAAAAAAAAAAAAAACATTAAGAGAGAAAAAAAGATTTTGGTAAA